ATCGTCACTTCTTCACGGCTTACAGGAGACCAGGTGCGATTAAGGTCGAACACATTTTTAGAGAAGGCGGGCGATATTTCATTGTGGTCTGCAACAATCAGATAATGAGGAAAACAACAATGAGATTTATTCTCTTTATAAGTTTCCGATATTAAAGTTGACTTTTTATGATGAAATATATTACGTTGAATGTCTCCCTATTAGTTTATTATAACCCTTTCTACGTGTATTGCTAGACTCTATTATACGGGTTCGCAGTTATTCTCTTGTATTGGCCCATATAAAAAAATATTTTTTAATCGATTCTCTTAAAGGTTTTTTTATTTCTCAAAATATTTTGTAATACACTAAATATATTATTTAATCGGTTAATAAACTTCCCACGTGATATTTCTTATTCTTATTTGAAATTCTCGATTTCTGTTTTATTGCGAACCATAAGATGAATTTTTAAATTTCTGGTATTCGTAACATTCCTATTTTATTGAATATTCACTACTGATTTGAGTTCCCATTTTTGTGCTGACAAGAAAACTTATATAAAAATAATGGAAGAAAGTATAATTGATCGATGAGTCAATCGATAATCTAACTCACCCTCTGCAAAACAATTTAAAATATATTACTGAATTCCTTTTTGCCGCCGAGATTCGTTTTGTTTGGTAAACGTTTTCAACCTATTAAATAGACCATCCTCGGGCTACATTTTCTTGGAACATATTTACTGTTAAATATCGTTTCAAAATACAATACATGAAAAGAGTAACAGAAAAAAGAACGACGTTTAAATGTCGAATATAAAGCAAAACTAACTAAAATAAATATTAAAAAATAATTAATAAAATAAAATAGAAAATAAATAGCTCAAAAATACACAGAAATATATAGTAGTAAATTAGGAGATTTTAGCAAACTTATTTTCTACAATGTATTTCCATGCTATTGCTAAGCTGTTCGCATCTTTTGTATATATTCAACAGTTATTTCAAGTAAAGGTGACTCCCTTTATAGAGAGTAATCCAAGTGAAAACGTTCTCATAAAAGAGCTCAAGAAAATAGAAGCGTTAAGTAAGCAGGTGCCACACTACCCGCCAGTGGGAATTCTCACAGCTCTCAACCGAAAAGAATGGGCGAGGATAAGAGATCGAATGATCGAAGGTGAAAGCAAAGACAAAAATATCTTACATATTAATTAAAACTCTTCGATGTTTGACCGAAATTTACGAATACGCAGATGATAATAATAAAGAATCCATTCGAATTATTGAAAATTGTCTGTTTGTGGTGTGCATGGATGAATCGATCGAAGATGTGAGGAAAGACAAAAAATCGAAAAGTTATTACTTCGAAGAGATGGCTCACCACATCCTTCACGGCAATAAAAGTGGACATTCCACCGGTAACAGATGGTTAGATAAATTTATTCAGGAAAAATTTATTCATTGCAAATAAGTAACAGAAAAAGTCGACAACTTTTAATCGTACGATTTGATGAATTTCAATTCGATTAAACTAAAAGTTCTAAATAAAATAGATTCATCTAATTTGCCTATTAAAATTATAGATAAATCGATGTCCGATTGTTTACTCTTTCCGTTTTGTAGTTTATCCTGATCAAAAATGGTGTAAATGGAATCGTGATCGAACGTTCGGTGTCGGAAGGGATTGAGGTTTTAAAATTCTGCGAAGAATTCCTGGATTTCGTGTAAGATATTTTTATGTCTCGAATTAAATATCAGAAATGGAAGTGAAGTGTTTAATCTATTTGCAGAAAAAATGACACTCAGTTGAGTGTCATACGACATTCAGACGATAGTCGTACGGCAGTTACAAGACTTACGTGGAATATCAGCGAATCTCTGGCAGAAGAGATCAAAAATGCATCGGCCGTCACAGACGCGTAAGTTACTGTAATTTTCACAATCCGCAAATTATAATTTTTATTGACGAGTAGAAAACGTCAGTTCACGCATTTCCTGTCTTTAGTATCATAACTGATTACACATTATGATTCTAAAAACACCTAAAAGTAAAACAACGCGTAAAATCACTAATTATGTGGTGTTCATGCTTCAAAAAGCTTTTATTTACAGAAAATTGTCATAATTAAATATCGATCCATCATTTAGTAGATTCTTTTGATTCTTCCAATTGAAAACTGTTGAGGAAACTATTATTATTTCTCGAGAAAAATTCCATTGTAATCACTAAGAAACATTCTCGGCTCGATCTTCTGTTTTTTTTTAAAGAATTTATTTGACATATGCAGCTTCTAAAAATATTCATTATTTCATTTTATATTATTATTTTATAATTCATTTGTCACTCGAACACAGTGTCATTTGATCTTTAAAATTATTATGGTTTAAGGCCCGAACATATATTCATTATAGACGTTATTTTCACAATGATCGACACGTTAGAACTTAATGTTTTTAGTTTCATCGATTACGGCAAAGGATTTTCGGAGAAACACGAAATCAATCCCGACGTGTTCATTCAGTTGTGTTTGCAGTTGACGTACTTCAGGTTTGTTTAAACGACAATTCTCTTTTTTTTAATGCCTATTTCAGGGTAATTAAAACAACGATAGTGTTATTTTCTCGTCAGAACGCATGGCAAAGTGACGGCCATTTACGAAAGTGGGGCTTTGAGGAAATTCAGATTCGGTCGCGTCGACAACATTCGCGCTTCCACCCAAGAGGCTTTGGAATTCTCAAAGTCCATGTTAGATCCTTCCCTGAGTCAGGTCAGTCGAATGCAAATTTTTCCATTATTACAAAATCTTATGCATGTTGACTTTTTTGATATCTTTAGGCTGAAAAATGGAAAAATTTCAAAAAGCCGTGATAAAGCAAACCGAAATTTTTCTCTACGTAAGTATAAAAAAGCTGTAAATGAATGAACAGAATTACTTATCAATTTTATAATTGTGATAATATATGTTATTGTTCAGACAATCAACGGAGAAGGACCGGATAACCATCTTCTGTGCTTAAAGGAAATGGCTGCTCTGCACGGCTTACAAGAACCGGCACTTTATCAAACAGATTATTACAAAGAGTTCCTGAATTTCCGCTTATCGACCAGTCAGGTCGGACATCTTTCTGTGTATTGATTAAGTGTTAGCGAGTGAAAAAGAATTAATTGATTGACTTTTTGTAGTTTCCCACGACTTACGACATCGTAGTTGGATACGGTCCCGTGGTGTCCGATGAATACGGATGTTTGTACAATCCACGGGAGTATCGTATCGTCTTTTGCATTTCGTCGTTCAAAAACGACCCCTCCACGGACTCGGAAAAGTTTGCACGGAATCTGCAAGTGAGCTTGATGGAATTGAAGGAGCTTTGTGAGAGTGGGAAGACTCCAGTTTCACCCAGGTTGTTCTTTGTTGTTTAACACTTTGTTTGTGTTTTAGACAGTTGAATTAATCACGTGATGTTCTTTTAGCTCACCGAAAAAGGCTGCAGTTAAAGCCGAAGCAAAGTCATTCAATATAGAATATTTTAGGCTATTCGAATGTTTTTGGTCTAAGCTGAAGAAATTCGGCTTCAAAATTTTTGAATTGTGCAAAATTGTTTAAAAATAATTAAAAATTGATTTAATAAATTTCACGAAAACTTGCGTTGTGCGTTTTATTTATTTAGTTATAGTAATTCTATATACATATGGAATTTCGACAATGTTTATCGTTTACTTTGTGAGAATTCGGACTTCAACATAAACAATTCAACCTCGTAACATCAACTTTGTCAACTATCTGTCAACTTTTACACCTGGGAGTATATATTCTTTTAACTTCTCAAAGTTGATAAAGGCGCTTTCTCGTCAGACCTGACCTGACGTGATCTGCCGTTTTCGTCGTTTAATATAACAGCTAGCTACCAACTATAGGCATCGGTGATAGTTGGTGGCTAGCTGTTGGTATTGATATTTTCAATGAAAATTGCCCCGAGAATAAAATCAGCAGTAAATTCACCCCATGGCGTCACGTAATCAAAATGCAGTGATGTTGGAGCACAATATTGCGTTGCAAGGAACACCCATATTCAACAATTCTGATTATTCATCGATTTATCTAATGAGAAGTGCGATTCGTCTGACCAAAAAATTTTCTAAAGCAACACATCACCAATAGCCATTCGCGCCAAAATCCAGAAAAATAACAGTGCGTTTTTGCCAGTCTTTAAGTTGCAGCTTTTGCCAAATGTGAATCTTATACGGATATTATTTTAACATGGGCCGAAGAGATTTTCGTACTGTCGGCCAAGGGATAGACATATCTCGTGAACCTGTTGAGGAATATTGTGAACTGGACGCTCTGGAAGAACTGCAACAGCAGCTAATTCGGCAATTTTTTCAGTAATCGGTTTCTGCCCTCTTCCAGGCAGATCATTCAATCTTTAGTCTCTTCAAATTTCCAGATCGTTTCTTTTACGAAGATCTTTCTCGCAATTCTTTTAATCGTAAATATTCTCAGTCAATATATCAGTGCAGCTAAGCTGTTGCTGCTGTTCTGAAAAAACACTTTCATCGCAAAACTCACTCTTTCTTAAGGAGATGATTAACGATAACATAAAGGACCTCAGAATGATTTTCTGACTTTCAATGCAGTTTTCTTTAGTGAGTCTGCTTACATTGTTTAAGAATTTCGATGATTTTTTTTATTCAAGAAATCTATTTTCCTTTATCAATATCAGCGTTTCTGAAACTTTTTGCTCACGGGACCCAATATATTTATATATAATGATAAAGCTATTCAAATGCTTATAATATAAAATTTTAAATAAGGCTGGTAAACTGATGTTACTGTATTATATAAGGAAATAAAATCATGCATTATTCATTATTGCTACTTGTAAAATGCAATATTAAGTACATTTTTGTTAAGAGCGGTTCGGGCTAATTTCAAATTGAAACGAATAAATTAAATGAATTTCAGGGTTTATTAATCTGTTGCTCTTCGGTCTTAGAAGATATTTCAATAATACGTGAGTTATAAATTCTTCTGTGGAAAGTGGTGTCATTCCGCAATCTATTGATATTTTAACGCCACCCACAGTTTCAGAAATGCTGGTCTACATAACAAATATCCCATTATCAAACTCCGACAAGCAAAACGGGCTCTAAAAAAGTCTCAATAGGGTCAGATTAATTGTAATCATACTGTATATTGTCTACTTAATTTTGGCTCTTTTTTTGCTTTCGGGTAAATGAGAAAATATTGAGGTCGAAAAAAATGGAATGATTTAAGCCAGAGATTTAATTTAAATAGTAAATCTTATATCATTCGGAGACAAGTAAATTTTATGAGCTTGTTTTAGAGCGACAGCGTGCTGTAAAGAAATAAAAGAAGAACACGTATTTATTTATTTAAATTAGAATTAAGATTCTTCTGAAAATTTTATTTTCACATTAATTTTTGTCAAACGTTCATTGTGGGCTCCACGTGCCCAAAACAAAGCAGTCGAGTGGTAAGGGATAACGACCGACGTATCTCTTTCGCTACATCTGAAAAATTGGTGGTGTGTTTCAACGCGTTCATATTTTATACCCGGTATACCGGATCGCCACACAGACATCGAATGTAACGTTCGCCTCGAGGCCATCCAGCCCACCAAGTTGAAAAAACGCAATTTTCAAATAATCTATTAATATATATATAAAAGGTAAATAAAAAACTAACATACAGCCGAAAATGCAGTATGAGTTAACAATGCATTATTGTGCAACAACCGATTCGCATTGTTTCAACTTTAACAAAAGTCTTCAGCAAATTAACAAGTCGCAATTCGAGCTCCTTCTACAGAAACGAAGCGAAAATGGCTGAAATTAAAGAAAATGTGAGTCTAAGTCGCCAAATAAGATAAAAATGATATATTTTGTATCGTAATTGACAATGCATTCAACGAGCATTGCCGATTTACATTTGACAAATCACTTTCCTTTGTAGGAATTGCCGAAGCCGTCGGTTCCCGAGCTCTCCGTCACTCTAAACAGATTCTTGGAAGGAATCAAAGCAATTGTTTCCGGTGACAAATACCAGGAAGCTCGTACATTGGTCGAAGAATATCAAACGTCGGAAGAAATGCAAAAGCTGCAGCAGCTGTTGAAGGAATATGCAGAAAGCCACGAAAATTACGTAAGTGTTTCTTCTTTTATGACAAGAGCTTTCACTACAAATAATACAAATATACATCTTTTCCAGGTAACCGACTTCTGGCTGAACGATATGTATTTAAAAAATCCTTTGCCACTGCCCATCAACTCTAATCCATTTTTCCTGCTGCCGAAGCGAGAATTCAAAACGGATGACGACAGATTTCGGTAAGGGTTTCTCGTAAAATAATCATTTATAAGTAATTTGTTTTATTGATAAATGTGGATTATTTCTCAGATTTATTGCGAAATTTATCATCTTTTCGCTTATGTTCAAGCAAAGAGTTGACAGGTAAACAGATGTTAATTATAAACAAGATTTTCAAGAGAGAAACTGTCACTATAAAGACTCATTTGTTTCAGCGGCGAATTAAAGCAAGAACTTTCTGGAGGACAAAGGAAAGGGAATGCGCTTTCCATGGCCACGTATCATCACTTCTTCACGGCTTACAGAAGACCAGGCGCGACTAACGACGAACACATTTTTAGTGAAGGCGGCAGCAGACATATCATTTTGATCTGTAACAATCAGGTAAGACTTTTGCTGAAGAAAGAAAACAATTTCATTTATCTTTCTTTAACTTTTCGATATATCGAACTTGTCACTTTATTACGGCATACATTATATATTATATCTTTTTTCATATGCATATACTGCTATTGTTTGTTACATTTATTATTTCTATATAAACACGTTGACGGTATCGATACATATGATTTAATTACAAACGAATAATTTGGTATATTACATGATAACTTCCGACACCTACTTCGTATAATTCTCGCATTCTCTACGAGAACTAGGCATTATCAATAGATGCGTGCGAGCCGAAACAAGCTGGGACTTTTTTAGATTTTCTTCGTGTTTCTAATACGTAAATAGCGCCCTTATCCAGGAAACAATTCCATTTGAGAACATTGCCTATCATATTAATTCAATACAATTTTTTACATTAGGCAAACACCCAGGTGGTCTAATAAACACGATGTATTGCTTTCTGATTCTTCTTATACTTTGAACAATTCTGGTGGTGTACACGGCTTATGCTCTTAGATAAAATTACTGTGTTGTTGTTTTACTGACCTACCTTTAAAGTTTGTACAAGACATTTAAATCACGCTGCATATATAACAAGTTTAATAAGATACATCGTGTAGTGTATATATCTATCGTAGGAAATACGTGCCGTATTAATCTTATTTGTAATATATTACAAAATTTTTATTTTCCAAGACGTTAAAATTTGCATTACTTGTGTTACCACAGAACCATTCCAGTGTTAAAAAAGTACTTTCTCTGTTTCATTGGCATTTCCTACTTGATTAATTCTGATTACATGCGTTTATTAGATACAATCTAATGTCATCACAATTGTACTTTTCATTATTTAACAGTTATTTGCGTTGACGATACCCGGTAAAATAGCTCTTCCAAGCGAAAAAGCGCTGGTAGAAAAACTTCAGATAACCGATACTTTCAGCAAGCTGGAGCCACACTTTCCGCCAGTGGGAATTCTCACGGCTCTCAATCGAAAAGAATGGGCGAGGATAAGAGAACGAATGATCGAAAGTAAGAGATCAAAGGCAAAAATTTACTATTACGCAGACGAAAATAATAAAGAATCCATTCAGATTATTGAAAATTGTTTGTTTGTGGTGTGCATGGACGAATCGAATGAAGGAGTGAGGAAACAAACGACATCGAAGAGCTTTTCGGACGGGAATCTGGAAAAGATGGCCCACCACATCCTTCACGGCAATAAAAGCGAACATTCCACCGGTAACAGATGGTTCGATAAATTTATTCAGGTAAAATTTATTCATTGCAAACAACTAACACAATAGGTCGATAATTTTCAATCGTACGCTTTCATTTTAAAATACTTTCGAAAGACTACTTTCGTGTTCAATGTAATTTGATATGAATAAATGTATCTATCAGTAAATTCATTCAAAAATAAATTGTGGTACGTAAATATACGGAAGTAATCTCACAATGCGATTTATATTTTGAACGTTTTTTGTTTGGTGTAGTTGAGTTTCTTTATACTTTAACCGAAGTGTATCGAGCAGTTTGTATACGAATACGAAAGAACAAATACAGTACTTTTTTTTATATTAATTTCACCTGATTGTCATTTTGATTTTTCATAAATTTGAATTTCGATTCGATTAAAAGAAATATTTTAAATTAACTATATTTTTCTAATTTGCTTATAACATCGTACATAAATCGATGCCCGATTGTTTACTCTCGACTTTGTGTAGTTTATCGTGACCAAAAATGGTGTGAACGGAATTGTGATCGAACATTCGGTGTCGGAAGGAATTACAGTTTTAAGATTCTGCGAAGAATTTCTGGATTTTATGTAAGATTGTTTTCTCTGTTAAATTAAATACAGCATTAGGAATGAAAGTAAAGTGTTTATAATTTTTGCAGGAAAAGAGATCAGCCGAAGAGATCGTCCGACGATCTACTGACAGTCAGAAGACTCAGCTGGGACCTCGACGAAACTGTCAAAGAAGAGATCAAAAATGCATCGGTCGTTACAGACGCGTAAGATACTGTAATTTTGACGATCAACGAATAATAATTTTTATTGACGCGTAGAAAACAAGAAGAACGTTAATTCGTTCTTTGCCTATGTTTAGTATTATAACTGCTTAAAAGTTATAATACGTATAACCTCGTAAAATCTCTATGTATATGGTGTTCTTGTTCGAAAAGATGGATTTACATGTAATTGCCATCATTATGTATTGAAACACCATTTAGTACATTCTCTTGATTCTATCAATCGATATATGTTGCGGAATCTATTATTATTTCTCGAGAGAAATTTCATTGTAATTAGAAACAAAAGTCGTGGCAATTTCGTCTCAGTTAGTCACGGACATTTAAAACAAAGCTCCAGTATTCTGTCAGCATACACGTGTTGCGTACAGGCGAATCTACATAGAGATTAATATGGCTTAAGTACTGGACCCACAGCGTAAAGGAACCACAAAATTTGAATTATTCTCTTAAATTTTTATTACTTTTTCATTATAATTTATTTAATGTGTAGATATAATGGGCTTTATAATAATCCGTACTTTTTTATTCACACCAAATAACATTTCTGCCTAGTGTTTAGTGCTGGAGATAGTCCTATTATTTTTATTATCATTTTCGGCACTCCCAAAAATTCTGGTCAGCATTTGCGCCTAATTTCGTTTAAAACTTAAAGACAATTATTGTCCGAAGGAGGTATAAATATTGTCTGTAAACATTATTTTCAGATTAATCGATACGCTGGAACTCAATGTTTTTATATTTGACAAATACGGCAAAGGTTTGCCGAAAAAACAAAAAATCAGTCCCGATGTGTTCATTCAGTTGTGTTTGCAGTTGACATACTACAGGTTTGTTTAAACGACGATTCTCTTTCTATTAATGCCAATTTGAGTGTAATTAATTAAATCATCGACGCTGTTATTTTCTCATCAGAATGCATGAAAAAATGACGGCCACTTACGAAAGTGCCGCTTTGAGGAAATTCAGATTCGGTCGCATCGACAACATTCGCGCTTCCAGCCAAGAGGCTTTGGATTTTTCAAAGTCCATGTTAGATCCTTCTCTGAGTCAGGTCAGTCGATTGCAAATTTTTCAATTATTACAACATCTTATTCACATTGACTCCTTCGATATTTTTAGGCTGAAAAATGGGATAAATTTCAAAAAGCCGTGAAAAAGCAAACCGAAATTCTTCTCTACGTAAGTAGAAAAAAGCTGTAAATGAATTGACAGAATTACTTATCAATTTTATAATTTGATAATATTTGTTATTGTTCAGACAATCAACGGAGAAGGACCGGATAACCATCTTCTGTGCTTAAAGGAAATGGCTGCTCTGCACGGTTTACAAGAACCGGCACTTTATCAAACAGATTATTACAAAGAGTACCTGAATTTCCGCTTATCCACCAGTCAGGTCGGGCATCTTTCTAAGTATTGTTTGTGTTAGCGAGTGGCAGAGAATTAATTGATTGACTTTTTGTAGCTTCCCACGACCTACGACATCGTAGTTGGATACGGTCCCGTAGTGCCCGACGGATACGGATGTTCGTACAATCCACAGGAAAATCGTATCGTCTTTTGCATTTCGTCGTTCAAAAACGACCCCTCGACCGACTCGGAGAGATTTGCACAGAACCTGGAAGTGAGTTTGATGGAGTTGAAGGAGCTTTGTGAGAGTGGGAAGACTGCAGTTTCCACCAGGTTGTACTTTGTTGGTTAGCAATTCGTTCGTGGTTTAGGTAATTGAATTACTCACGTGTTGTTGTTTTAGCTCACCGACAAAGGCTGTAGTTAAAGCTGAAGCAAAGTAATTGGATGAAAAAAATATTAATCCAATCGGCGAATTGCACGTTTTCGGTTTAAGCTGCAGAATTTCAAGTTCAAAATCGTTTAATAATGATTGAAAATTTATTTAATAAATTTTACGAAAACTTTCGTTGTTCGTCTTTATCTTATCGGAATTTACAAAATATGCAGATTTTCAATTACATTATGAATAAATTAGATTCGGGGTTGTCATAAAGACGTAACATAAAAAGTATTGATGACAGTTTAGCAAACTTTAATTCAAGATGAAGACGTTTGACATATGAAAAATTAATATGCATTTTTTATATTAGCGATTTTGCTTAATATTAAAAAGTTGAGTAACTTCTTTTCAAAACTTTTCCGCCTTAGGGGCACTAAGTGGGCTACTTTTAGCAGGCCAATTATGGGTTCGCCTAGGCTCGCAATAGATCCGACGGGTGGTGAGATACGGAGCCCGAGGTATCCAGAAAAATTCTTAAAGAGTTTTCGATTTGTCCGGTCTTTTTTTCGAGGTCCCCAACATGACAGGTGACACAAAGTTGTGTCTGATATTATACTTGCAGTTAGTATCAGTTTCAGAAAGAACAGGTACAGTACGTTTCGAGTAACACCTAGAAGTACTTATTTGGTTGATTTCAACCTACCACACCGGATTCTATTGGCACTTTCTCATCGCTGCCCGTTTCGTTTCTTATATCATTTTCCCTCTATCTAGGGGTTTAGCATTAACGAGTTTTAGAAATCATAGTACGATTATAAAATCATGTAATGCAAAACGTTGAAACACTTGTCATGTTTTAAGCTCACGTAGGAAAACATGATTTATAAAAGAAATAATGGGTCTTTCGAAGAAATTGTATTCCAAAGAAGCGTATCAACAAATTTATTGAATAACTTCGTAGATAATTTATATTCTTCACATCTATTTATGGAAAAGATTGAAGAAAATAAGTGAAACAATTTACAGAATAGTTGAAAGTTTTAAATTAAGAGAAGAAATGTCTTGTGTATTAAATCCAGCCTGCATTGACGGATTTCTTTCCGCCGGTTTGTCGTACCGGATTGAAACAGTCAAATGTTTTACCAAAACTAAACTTTTTATCGCTTTCGATCATGTACAGTAGAAACTCGATTTCATGCAGTTAACGATATTCGTCTTATTCTTCCTTGCCTAAATTCGAACTCCTCCTCTCTTCACTAACTCTACTGTCTTCCCATTTCTACTCTCTTTCTTTAACTCTCTCTTCGTCTTTTCCTACTTTTCTTTCTTTTTTGACAACCTTTTGTCTACCCTTTTTTATTACTTACACGACTGCTCGCAAAGAGGTTGGATATGGGCCGACACACCGCAGTCGGAGGAGGGAAAGAATAGGCCCAATATCATCACATGGTGAAAGACAAGTCTCGGAGTTAGGAGACTTTCCAAAAAGTGGTAAAGTCTAAGAGATAATTAATTGAAGTAACACAAGACACGGATTAATCTGAACTACATTTTAAATAAGACATAGGTAATTGTGACATCCTTAGGATGTCACAATTACCTATGTCTACTCAATTTCTTACCTATGTCTACTCAACCCTAAGGATGTCAACAATTACAGTTATAATTAATTAAGGTATTACAATTACAGTTATAATTTAGTTATAATCCAACAACATTTACTTGTAACTTATTAAACAAAAAATACAAAGAGACTTGCCTATCCTTAACTTACACCTGTAGTCACTTGTTTCTAACTCTGGCACCAACCGACAACAACTCTGACCCCTTTGCTCTCTCTGGTTTTTACTTACTGAATTAAATTCTCCCACACTCTCCCTTATGTCAAAATTATGGACACGAGTCTGTCCTTTTATTGGACGGACCCATGTTTAATGAACCTTATTTGCCTACATCTGTTTAGGTAATGACGGTATACCAACAATTTGTCTGGTTTATTCTTAATTTCACTTTCAGATCGAACAGGTACATTTTGAATAAGACGTATTACAAATTAGTTAGCGGCCGGACGATCGAGCGATCTAAGTTGATAGCCTGCCGTCCTGGGAGACACCGGATCGAATCCAGACAAAGTCCAAAAATTTCGCTGAGATGGAGATCTTACATCACTTCTAGGAGTATTACGATAATTCAACAGGGCTGAGTAAATATCGATTCTATCAGTTGGAACCACTACGAAAATATAAACTAATTTAAAATAAATGCTCTTAGTTATAAAACATACATTCAGGGATACTAAATTTGTATACTTTTTCGTCACAACGCGCTACCAGACTACACGTCAAACACGTCTAGTGTAGTGTTTACAAATGTTTGACTTTGAGAACAGCTGTTTTCGACTTTCGCAGTAAGTTTACATGAACACCTCAGGAAAAGTCGGGTATCTAGCAGAATCTGTACTGGCTAACGCAAGTACTCAAACATATCACGAAATGTTTGGTCATTTGTATTATTTATATAGGAGGGGCCCAGAAAAACAATTCAAAACAGAAACTTCTATTCAGTGTAGAATTACGAAATTTGGTGAGCTCAAACACAACGTTTAATAGAAGATAAATAAATTTCAACCGATTCAAATCCACGCATAAAACGATAATTAATGTAAATGTTAATTACTTAGTTTTGATATTCATGATACTTAAATGACCTATTAATTTCATCTCTTGTATATTATTATTAAATTACTATCTACCTCTAATTAGTAGTGTCTTGCCCCTGTATGTCATGTTTTTTCTGTTAGCAATAGAGTAGCAGTTATCTCTCTAACTTCTTTCGGGGAAAATTTTCAATTGAAATAACATGACTTCTGGTTAGCATCGAACGTTCGTATATCCGGACTTTCAGTCACTAATGTGACTGAAACTGTGGGTGGCGTTAACATTTCAATGGATTGCGGAATGACACCACTTTCCACAGAAGTATTTATAACTCACGTATTATTAAAATACAGTAATACCCCGACTTACGCGAACCCGGAGTTACTCGATTTTCAAATCTCGTCGATTCGTCTTTTGTTTGAGCGGCACGCAACCCTCGATTACTCACTCCTCCCACACTATTGTTCGGCTTACATGTTCGGACGTGTCGCGCGGAATCGACGCATAGCTACAATTTATTTTGTGTTATTTATTTCTGTATTTCTTATATCTACGGAGACTCGAGAGACTCTACTATGTCATCCAAACGAAGTAGAACTGATTCTTCCGCATCAAACAAGAAAAGAAAAACTTTATTTTTGGAATGTAAAGTTAATATTGGGTATGTTCGTAAAGTCGAACGAGAATGATGTCATCGTTATTCCTATTTCGTTAGACTTTTCGAACGATTCGTTACTAACGCGTTTAACTCGTTTGACTACGAACGTACCCATTATTAAAGACTTCGATACAAAAATGAAAATTTGTGAATTGGCAAAGAAGTTTGATCTACCGGAATTGTCGGTCAGAACAATTATAAAAGGTAAAGAAAAAATTCTCGAAGCTGTGAAAAATGCTCAATCTTTAAATTCGAGCATCATTCGTTAATGTCATGGTATTATCGATGAGATGGAAACAATGTTAAAATTATGGCGTAATACTCGAGTAAATGTGAAAAATTATAAAATAATAAAGACCTAATTTGTTATACATATGTATTATCTAAGATTTTATTAAACATTTTTTTCTAAATTATTGTTTTCTTTAGTCTCCGGCCCCAATTAAAAATTATTTGTATGTATTTATATGCGAAA